CCACAAAATGACCTCCAGCTGTTTACTGGTGTGAATGTCTCTGACTAAAGCATCAGAAATGTGACTTTATGAGGGTGGACCAATGTCCTCTAGTGGACCCTGCACTCACTGCTCACTGCTTGGCATTTGTCATAAGATACCAGAATTGTCAGGTCCACCACTGGCACCCTTTTTTTTCACAGAGGAGAGCAGGTTCGCTCTGAGCACATATGACCGACGTGAAAGGCTCTGGCGAATCCGTGAAGAACATTACGCTGCCTGTAACATTGTTTAGCATGACCGGTTTGGTGGTGAGTCAGTAATAGTCTTGGGAGGCAAATCCATGAAGGGACACAGACCTACAGGCTTGGCAACAGCATCCTTGAAATCCTTGGACTCAGTCTCAGACCCTACATTGGTGCAGCAAGTCCTGGGTTTGTCCTGGTGAATGACAGTGCACAGCTTCATGTGGTGAGAGTGCACAGTCAGTTCCTGGAGGATGTAGTAGTTGATGCCATTGACTGACCCCCATACTCACCTTTACTAAACCCAATAGAACATCTGTGAGACATGTTTCCGTCCTGACTGTTGTGTGTGTGTGTGTTTTGGTGCCTCCTTCAGGAAGGAGTTTGAACGGATCTGTCGACAGCAAATAAAGGTTCCCGGTCTGGTGGTGATGAGGGACGTGGCTATAGCAAAGTCCGAGTTTGTCCCAGATCAGAGAGCTGTCTCAAAAGTGCAGGACTTTCAGGAGGATCCTGAGCTGTTCCGGTACTGCTCTCTACCAAAGGTACTGGAACGCCACATTCAAACAAAGACAATACACACAGCAGTAGGGTTTTTCCTAGGGCTGGGCCATATTATACCGTTTACAGTAATACCGGTACAATGTTATGCAACAATAAGAAAATAAAATATTGTGATAGAATATGGGTAAAACGCGCATGCGCAGTGCCTTTGTTTTCATATGCACATGGCCGAAAAAGCATGGTGGCAACGGAGAATGAGGCATCCATGAAAGCAGAATTTATTGAATTTAACAGAGTTAGAATTTAGCGGAAGTTAGCTCGCTAGTTTCGCTAGTTACCTAAACATGATATAGCATCTTCTGACTGAGAGATTTCTGAAAAAATTAAAACGTACACTATCACGTATCACTTCCAACATAAATGAGGACAGAAAACTAAACAGCAGTGACATTTGTAGCTATGTTAGCATAACATAAACAGTGAAACTGGAGGATGAACGCTAAGTTTTTTTCCACTCAATAAAAGTTAATGTGAAGGTTCCTGATGGTTAGGGACAAATGCAATCGCATGGCAGGATGCTGTAAAAGGACCAAACTTCAGTCAGGAAAACAACTGAGATAATCCATCCACAATAGCAGGTTAATCATTAATATACTGCAACAACATGGGAATAGAGCAGCTGCCAGAGAGTTCAACATTAATGAATCAATGGTACGGAATTGGGGGAAGCAAGAAGTTGGATAAAGTTTGACTTATCTGACTGTTTTGTCAAAGGATGGTTGTTTTATCTGTGTTAATTGCCAAATTAATTCTGATAAAAAGGGTTTGGTGCCTCACAGAGGTGCTATCAGTAATCACACAGGTGATAAGGCAGAAAACATTACATGGACTTCAATCATTAATCTGGAATGTCTAAATGTTTTTCACAAACAAAAAAATGAATAGGCATTGAATTTGTTTCTTTTGATAAACAATGAAATAGGTCAAGCTTGAAGACTATCAGAATAAAAAATTTTGCTTTTCTTTATCAGATCCTGAAGTATGTTGAGTGTTTCATTGGACCGAACATCATGGCAATGCACACAATGCTGATCAACAAACCTCCTGATGCAGGTATTTTAATTCTCACTAAAATGTTTGGCCGACAAAGTCACAAATACTTAATACTTATTTGGATGCTGCGTACTTCTTGGGTTTACTC